TAATAAATTAACAACTGCCCTATAGTTTGTTCGCTGATTTGATTGTTTAAAAAAATAAATAAAGAAACTTTTCTGATAGAATCACAATTTTACATCTGTTCGTAAGAGTACTATTTCGATACGGAGTTTTTTTCCGCGATCATTCTTCATTGTCCAACTTCAAAACGATAAACCAATCGGGATTTGTCGCGATTGCGAAGAAAAGTATCTGCAATGGTGTTTGGGGATTTCACTCATAGAGAGTTTTCTATAATGAAAATTGGGAATTGTTTTTTGGATTGAATGAATTGAGAAGAAAATGCAATTTGCACAACTAATCAGATAGCTTTCATTGCCATTCAGCGAACGACGAAAGATATGTACTTGAAGCATGATCAATATGAACCAACTGCTCAGTGAATATCCAGCAACTCACTGAATTCGTTTCAAAATGAATTCGAATCTTCGACTTTGAATCCTTCCACTCATTATTGTAAATTTGAGAAGTTGAAGGTTTGAAAGGACAAATCAAAATTTTTGTAAGAGATCATCAACACAAGTTGCTGAACATTCCATGAGATAAGCAGGATAGATCGTTTAAAAGCTACCGTTGGATTTTGGAATTGAAGTAGAATTGCAGATAGCTGCATTTTTGCTTGAATCGTAACGTTTCGAGACTCTGAATAGTCCAACGCTATTACGCGATCGGTAAGCTGCTGGAATCGATTCGAAATTCTGGCTGACTTGGTTAGGAATTTAGTGAGTTGTAGGCATCTAATGCTCTGGAGGGATATTTTTTGGAGTTTTCCGAAAGTAGACAATTTTTTGTTCGACAGCATCAAAATGAAATTTAGTTATCGAGAATGGCGCATAGAGCTCGTTTTTCGTTTATGAGCCTTTTGAGTGAGTCGTTGTTTTTTTTTGAAAATTAAATCATTGGAAACTGGTAGTACCATCGGTCCAGCGACACACACAGCAAAGTATTCACTCTTCCATAAGCCTATATTAATGCCATCACTGAATGAGCATTCACTAGAGTTTGCCCAAAAATAATCTGTTATCATCTGCTCTTCTTGAGACGAGAAGAGCCTCAGTTCAACCGGACTGAGATTAAGCTCTTGTTCAGAAAGCATCGTGAAAACCAATGGACAGTTCTGAAAGTTGACAAAGGAACCTTGAATGAACACTTGCATAATCATGTCAATTACTTTCCTTAACAATACAACTGAATATGGAAATCACATGTTTTGTTCTGATGACCATTACGTTCAGAGCATGTTAGCACCATGATAGTATTCGCCATTGCTAGCCTTCTTTTATTGTTAAACAATTGTGTTGCTCATTGTTGCAATCGATTATGATTGCATGGAAAGCTATTGTCTATGACACGCTCACTTCAAACTGATTTAGATGAATTCTCATTCTTTTCAGACGTGTTGTATTCGCTCTCATAGCTATTGCATGCGAATGTCGTTCTCTTCATGAGCTTTTCTCATTCATTACGTCTCATTTCACTTTACAGTTCGAATCAACTTCTCATTCTGTAGCATATACTATTTGCTGGATGCGTTGACGATTGTTGACAGTCGAAATCAACAATACAACAATCGAATTGAATTGCTCAACAACGTTCGACAGTCAAATAATCATTTATAGAGTGTATTTGATAGAATGAGAATTTAACTTTAGCTGTTGAGTGAAACGAATGAGAAATTAGCAGAAGAAAACACTTTTGGTGATAAAAGTCATGAGAGCGATTGTAACAGCACGAAAAAGAATGAAAATTCTGTTAGAACATCATTTATTGACGGATGGATATGATTACAATGAATCTACGACATATGATAATCAATTCGTGCTGAAAAACCAACTCACAAGATTTCCCAACCCCCTCCATTACAGATTATCCAAACTGGGTAATTTCATCCCTTATGAGAACCGCTGGATTAGATCGATGTTTAATTTTGATAATCTCATGACATTATGATCTCTAATTTCTCTCTAGAACGACTCACCAATTCGAGTGATAAGTTTGCGTTGTAGCCAATACATTGGAGCGAGATCCAAGTCTCCTCCAAATCATCATTGTTATCTGCTTCAACCTACAACTACGGCAAACGTATTTGCTTTCTATGGGTTCATGTCAATAAAAAATATATAATTCCTATGGATAAAACGGAATTTACCAAGGGTACATACTGATGAACAAACTGTAATTCGAGCAGTGAATAAACGGAAGAAAAGTAACGAAACATGACGTATCTGACGAGAGTACCATTTGCAAGAATAAGAAATCCGTGTAAATGTGGAATTGATCAACGTAAATTTAGGAGATTCACTTTCAAGGTTTCTTGAGAGGAATGGAATTAATGAGATAATCAAGAGCTAAATGATAGAATTTGTGCGAAAAACCGAACCTGATGGAGTGCTATCAATGAGCTCATTGTCAGCTCACCGTTTCGGGTCTCAAAATTATCCAGCAGTACATCCCATTCCTGGAAACAATAGTGAACAGCAGTTTGATTGTACATATGTTGAAGTATTTTATACTTATACAAAATATCTTCTGGTTCCATCAACGAATGCGATATCCATTTTAAAACCCTCTTAGAAAGTGAGTTCTCGATACTTTTAAGTGTTAATAATTGAAGTTGCTCAATAAATTCGTAAAGTACCTGATCAGAAACATGCTCGTCACTTGCAACAACGTTGAATGCATCGAATTCGCTTCGACTCAAAGTACCGTTCTCATCAAAATCGAACAAATCAAAAATATTCATCAACGTCATTCTGAAATGAGCACTTATGCCCTCGGATATAACTCTTTGAGCGCATATCTTCATATTCATTCTACTGAGCGATTTTTCGTTTTTTGGAAAATGTCTAACAATAAGTTCTTGATGAGAACTTTGCCGTTCCTAACTTATCCTGTGAATCAATAACTGATCAGTTGTCTAATCGGTCGAAAATAATCCCGTTACACGACTTTTAACAGTAGATCTCTCTGGACACTTTGATCTGTACACTGAGCATACATGCTAGCTTCGATATCCACTGTACAATAGATTCATAGTGAAGCTTTCGTACAATATTATCTTCACTCCAATAAAATTTCAATTCTTTCATTTTGATATTGAAGATGAAAAGAGCTATCAGTTACAGATGCTATAAATCATAGCATATTGAAGAAATCATAAGAATTCGGTGAAATCCTTTGCATCCAATCATCAGAATGCTTTTATTTCTTTCATTATTCAATCACTCGTTCCTGTTAATAATTGCATACGCATCATATTTGGTGCTAATATTTGTTTATACAAAATACAAAATATCATTGAGCAGTCGTCTATCCCTCCTATACGAACCCTCCTATATTCAGGCAATCGAGTAATCGTGAGACTGTCAGGGATGAGAGATTATACTGCAGAACAACTTGATCCAGTACCTTAATTTGCTAAAAATCAAAGAAAACTAATGCTTTGTGATATTTATGACAAAATGATAATGGCAGCCAGGTAATGAAATAATGACAGTAGCAGTGATTAAGAATATGCCGTGAATAAAATGTGCATCCTGAATAAATGATAGCTGATGATCATACCTGAAACTTTTGGTCAATTTTCCAGTTTCCTTATCCACCAATGGTACTCTGGAGCTTTTATCTAGTTGATCCGCACTTACAGCTACACTTCGGCAAGAATGGAATGTGACTGAATATTGCCCTGGTCCTAACGTACATTCCTCACAATAATATTTATGGTCCACTAATTTATTGGTCACCATCATCACTTGTTCGGTATTGGCGTCTGATAGAACGATAAATATACTGTTGTTGAAGTTTTTCGACGGTGGTTGGTCATCTGAATGAGTGATTGAGGAATGCTGATCATTTATTGATTGAGGAATGCTGATCATTTATTGATTGAGGAATATTTCAGCAATATCATTTCAGAGATTTTGAGTGCTGTGAGATTTTGAGCACATCTTTAGTTTGGTATTAGTTGTTGAGTTGCTACTATCTTGTAATGATTCACTATGATTTTCATGTGGATTTTACGATGAACAACAGAAAGATTTCCGGGAAAATTTGGTGTGCTGTTTGCGGAATGTTCGTTAGTGAAAAAATCTAATTTTAGTAGCCGATTCGATATCTGGATGCTTCACTTGATACCGCTGAAATTACCTGACAAAAGTTTTTTTGGACTCAAGGCGAGACTGATGCTAAGGGAGGCCAGGCCCTAAATGATGCCAAATTCAGCGATTAATAAAATGTCCATCGTAAAGAAATCCACTCCACTTCAACCGATGATCTGTATAGAGCCACTTTAATGGGCAGCTGTTTCAGGTACTTCCTTGCATTTCACTCATGGAGGACGCGTAAAAGAGCATTGGCGGATGCAAAACTTACTACTCTTAATAAGCTGCATTTGGATTTGTATTTTTTGATCGGAAGCGACTGTGAAACGATACTCGAGTGTTCGTTTCTCATTCGAACCCATCAAACGAAACGCTCTCCTTCTTATCTGAGGTCGTAACAAATTAAAGCAAACGATGAGGAGGAAATATATAACTTAGGAGGCGGTAAGAGGAGTGAGAATGTTTTATGGTAAGCGAATAGTTAAAATGGGGTGTTTGTTTAAGGTTATCACAAATTCGGACGTTTCGGATCGATCGGGTACTCAGTCTTTATCATTCTGTTTAGGTATACCTGAAACGGAAGTACTGGATTTCCGGTCTGAGATGTTGAAGATTGTGGAGAGGTTTGCCCAGTTGTAGGTGTAGATTTTCCATCGGAACCCATAGGTGGTAACTCTGAAAATCTGAATGTCATGATCCAGTTCAACATGATCTAGCGGGGGCAATTGCGTTCGATCGAGATAATACTAAGGGAGGTCATTATCGTCAATAGATAGAGAGAATAATCTGTTGATGCTCTAATCCAGTGGTTCTCACAGGGGGTGAAATTATCCATTTTGAAAAATTTGAAGGTGTCAAGGGGTAATGGAGAGGGTCGGGAAATTAGTATTTCGTGCAGTTGTTATTTGATGATAGAAAGTTATTATGACGGTAGTTTTTAACTGGGATATGTAAATTCGGTTAGTTAATGGCAACACTCTTCTCATGTTTTCTGAGTATCATTAGCTCGTCCTGGCCTAACACGGTTTTCACTTGTTTTATTATGGTTTTCATTCTTTTTCTTGCTGTTATGGTCGCTCTCATAGCTTTTATCATCGAAAGTGTTCTCTTCTGCTAATTTCTCATTCATTTCACTCAACAATTAAAGTCAAATTCTCATTCTATTAAATACACTATATAATGGATCATTTGACTGTCGAACGTTGTTGAGCAATTCAATTCGATTGTTGTATTGTTGATTTCGGCTGTCAACACTCGTCAACGCATCCAGTAAATAGTATATGCTACAGAATGAGATGTTGATTCGAGCTGTGAATTGAAATGAGACGAAGTGAATGAGAAAAGCTCATGAAGAGAACGGTATTCACATGCAATAGCTATGAGAGCGAATAGAACACGTCTGAAAAGAATGAAAATTCCTCTAAATCAGTGTCACAGACAATAGCTTTTCATGCAATCATAATCGATTGCAACAATAGGCAACACAACGGTCTAACAATAAGAGGAGGCTAGCGATGGCTAATGCCATCGTGATGCTATCAAGATGTGAACGTAATGGTCCTCTGAACGCATGCAATCACGGTCGATCGCAGTAATGAGCATGACGTAAGTTCTTGTGTCAGGGGGCAACGCGGCCTGCCAGATCATCAAATGGGGTAATGGGGCACCGGAACGTGAGAACCACTGCACTAATCAGTCGACGAGAACCTCTAAAACAAGTGCTATTAAAATTTTATTGTAATTTGTTGAGGCGCAAGTTTCAAACCATTTCTAGTCATGTCTTCACTTATGATGGCTGATTCTCTTCGTTGAATGAGTTCTGCATCGTAATTTCGATCTGTCACTTCATTCAGTCGCATTCTCACAGTCTCTATATCTTCCAGTAACTGAAAATAATGGAATTTACTAACGATGCTGAGAAGTTAATCTGACGGATAAAATCAAATACTATGTGGACAGTGGTCTGATGAATCTCAAAGAAATGCGGTCCATTGTCTTTGTAAAAATTAGAACGAAAAGAAGATGAAAATCCTTACTGACATTTCGCCACGAGATTAAACCCGACTTGGACATTGCTGTGAAATAACCTTTTAGTTCATCTTTATCATCATCAATAATATCGGTCCTCTGCAATAAGAAATTGGATAATAATGTCGAATGAATGGATTCCATCAGACGATACGATACTACATTGGAAGATAACTAATGAGATTGATATTGCCGAGCATATTCAGCAATAAAGTTTCATAAATATCCATCCATCCACCTGTTGAAGACGTGATAGTAACTGTTCGAGTTGCACATAGCCAGTTTGTTCACTATCAATACTTCGCACGACGTCTTCCAAATTGACCGTCTCAATTTGATTGTAAATTTCAAAGGCATCCTCGAAATTTATTCCATCTGAAAACTCACTCACTCCGGTGCTGAATCAACGAAATTCGACCAATTTGCTGAATTTATAATGAACAGTTGTTTTTCAATGAAACTTTGACTATAAGAATAATAATAATGATAATCAATTGCTGTTCTCTAAGATTTCACTGATTGTTAGCATATATACATCAACTTAAGCGATAAACAGTTACGTTGACTTGGCTGAATCCATTTGTCCAGTTGACTGCGCCGCAGATCTTTTCCTGCCGCAACGATGATCTCGAATAATTGTTTCTGATCTACCAGTTTCGTTGAGTCACCGATCAGTGCATGATAAGCCGCTTCGAAAAGTTTTCGCTCTGACTTTTCCACTTGTACTGACATAGACTAGAAATGGAATTATTGAAAGTGAAACTGAGACATTACCTCGCAAGTGTTGGAGTACTCTCTCTTCTTCGACAGTTTAGTGAATAATTGTTTCAAGCAAAAATTTGGATACTATATGTATCGAATAGCTAACATTCCGTTGGGATTGCCTCTAAGTAATAAATCAGACTACTCGATGGCAGCAAAGAGTAGTTCACTTTCAGATATCCAGCAAAAGGTGAATGGAGGTCAGATGGAATTTGTACGCGTGATTATAATCGATTCAGGGACTGAAATATTGCTGATTTTGTGCAGTAACTAGAAATAACATACTAATTCTATGGGTTTTGCAAAAGCAATGCTTATACTCCACGTACATGATATCACTTTGGGCAGTATGTAAGCAGAGAATGCTTACTGCAGGTTGTCATAGCAACTGTTTAATTGAATCAGAGGCTATAGCTGTTTCATGTAAATCTCGCTCAAACGCACATTCTGGTGAACATCAAGAGATTTCGGCCAAGACGTTGAGATCGGAAATGTGCAGCTATCTAGAAACTGAAGCAGACATTGATAAAGAAAACGATTGTCCACAACTGCAATTTTAATTGAGCTGAATAATTTAATTGAACTACTCACTCTCTGAATAATTTGAGATGACTTATGAAAACGAACGAATTCAGTTAAAGTATCTCAAAATATCTTGTGTAAATCTCTTTCTGTTAAAAGTTGAATGAAAGAATAGTCCGTCCATTCTTCCAATAATATCTTCCAGAACACCATGCGATCATCTCATCTACTGCACTACCGTATATCTCATACAAGTGCGATCAACTCATCATCCACTCCAGCACTACCGTATACTAATTCTCTATTGCGTTATCAAAATGGTTATCGATTCTTTGAACAACCAAACCAATCGTTAAAATCAGTGAATCCATTGATTAATTCGTGAAATTCGCTCAATCTGAATTTCATAACATCTAATAACAAAATTTGTTCCTTTCCTGTATATAAAATGACGAAAATGCGTGAATTTTCATCTGATGCATGAAGCTTTCTGATTGTAAGGGTGATTTGATTGTGAGTTTTATTCAATGAAGATAGTAAATCCATCAAGCTGACACTAAAATCAATTTATAACGATCCAGCTGAAGGAATCAGCTGATGATTGAAGAACTTAGGAGATATTCACTATGTGAACACTCGCAGAAAATTTCCAGCTGTAAGCGTTTAAGTGCCAAATTGCGGCAATTGCAAATATTGGCTAACACTCAACAATTGCTGAAAAACGTGGAACTTTTGCTATTTATATGTTGGAATATAATTTTTAAATTAATTTTGGTTTGTTTTTATCCATTAATAAAGCAGTTTACTTCAAAACAAGATTTTAAAAATATTGTCTGAGTAAATAATTTAGTTCCTCAATAAAAGATGCTGTTTCAACCGTAAAGCTTGTCCACTTTATTATTTTTATTAGCCGATAGTTCATTACATAGTTTTTAAAAATTTATTCAGATCGTCTTTATGGTTTGCTTATTTAACCGATTCTGATCTCTTCGTTGCCTTCCTCAAAGTTCTATGCGAATTGTTTCATAAGTCACTCCTGGTGAATGGATTCAGTCAAATGTCAATCCGAGATTATTATTGTTGAACGAAAAAAGGATGGGAAGAAGACTCTGACTTCTGAAAAAATTCACGGCTTTTCAATTTGTACTGAATATGGTCATTTTCTGATGCATGATAAAATGCGAAACTCCGAAGTTGAAGAACGATGCCTTAGGAAGCTCTAATTAGTGATGAATATGCTGAACGATTTCTTAAATTAATGAATAATCAATCGTACTTGCTAAATAAACTGCTTTACAATTAGTCTGAAATTTCAGTGTGTTACATGTCCGACTGCAGTTGAGCGGCGAAGATGTCTACTCTGCAAGATTTTGTCAATCAACAAAAAGCGAAGGGTACACTCGGCACACCGAGTAGTTTCAGTGCATCGTTTTCATCGTTTGGTGATCTGAAATCAAAACTATCCTCATCGATCAGTGAAAGTTTGAGCGGAATTCCGTTGATTTCGCGTTCATCCACCGTTGATGTGGATTCGGAAAGCCTCACCTCCCCGGATGATGCATCCACCTCTGGGCAGTTACCCTCGTCGAGGAATCGGAAATTTATGAATGGCTGGTTTGGTGGATTAAGCGGCAATGGTGCGGATGATGGAGCTTGTGGGTAAGGCTCTTATCTCTTTTTATTATTGCCTTGACTGTTTTCATTGGCGTTTCCCATGTTTTATGTATGCTTCATTGATCATCCCATTTCCCTGTCGGAAGAATTCTGTCCAAATTTAAATACCAAAATTAATGAGTGAATATCAGCGAATTTCTTACCAACCGTGAATGTCCCGGAAATTTAGTTATGTATCGTTCTCCACAAATTACGAATCCTTCATCTTTCATATTCATCTGATTTTAACTATTGT